CCTGCAGTACACGACGCAGCTCGCCAAAGCTGTCGCTGTCTCCTGACAGCTCCTGCGATTGGCGCATTGAGTTACGCAGCGCAAGAGGGAACGTCCTTGGCAGGTCTTTCTCGATATCCATCTCCGCACACTTGCTCAGTGTATGCAGTCGATGTAGTAGCGCAGGATACGACTCCTTGGCTTCACGTCGAAGCTCCGCTGCGCCGCTGCACATCCACCAGACCTGTCCACGCAGATGTGGCGGCACACCAGCCTTCAACAGCGCGTCGAACTGGCGCGAATGCAGCATTAGCTCTGCCGCCGTGGCAAACGTAGAAAACGCCATCTTAACCGTCTTGGTTGTAGCCTTGGTGCTGCTTAAGTCCTCTTCCAGTGCATCTTCTTCCTGCTCTGTAAAGCGCTTTTGGTTCTCCTTCCACTTTTGACACACACGCTCCTGTGCCCAGTCACGGGTGACGAAGCGCTCGCTCCACTTACGCATACGATTTTTGTGGAAGTCTTCGGCGGTATCCAGCTCTCTTTCCGTGTATTGCTGGATGTCCACAAGACATTGCAGCACTTGGTGTTCACAATGACACGCCAGCTCGACGTCCTCCGTCTTCTGAGCAGCCGTTGCAAGCCGAAAGCGGCGCTTCGGGCGGAAACACGCCAGTTGACGTCCGTGCATGCGCGTAGAGGGCGGTGCAGGCTCCTCCTGGCCTGCGCACGCGCCGCCAAGTGAGCTCTCCTTCATGGTTCTCTGTCGGTTAATGCTCTGATACTGAACGCAAGTTTCGAGAAAGAACATTGCTATGGAGAACTATGATTGGACAATAATATGTGCGAAAAGGCGCGATGACGTTGAACAGGACGTGAGGAATTGATTGCTACATTTTATGACATAATGCAGTTTTATCACCCGACTAAGTACGATAACCCCGACTAAGTACGAGTAATGAAAGGAGATGGGCATATTCTTCCTGCGGATCTCATTGCTCGACTTGTCCTCATCATGTTGAGGCTATTGACTCAAACCGCGACGGCCTTCAAGCCGCTATCCCGCTCCCTACACGCCTCTGCACCCTCGTCCTTCCTCGTGCGTTCGCTGGACGACGTTCGCCAGAAGGACCGCGTCATCACCAGCGATGACGGTGCGCTTGAAACGCGGTACGGACACGTGTAGTCATCAACTGCGTATCTATAAAAAAAACTGACCATCATACTTGTTTCTACCCTGTTGAAGTCGCTATTTAGTCCGCAACGACGAGTGCGGGTTCTCCGTGCAGCAGGAAGTGCTCAAGAAGGGCGCGCCCGTGCGCCTTGAGTTCCAGAACCACGTGTACGCGCTGCTGGTGACCCGCGGCAATGGCCGCGTCCGGCTACTGGACGTGGGTGAGGGCCCCGGTCAGTTCCAGGATGTTGCCGAGGGCTCCTTGGTGGCGCTTAATGCGGCCGAGGCCATCGAGATCGAGGCCAAATCCGACGAGTTACACGCCGTGAGCGTCATGAACCCGCCCGTCTTCGGCGTCGAGAAGAGAAACGACACGACCGGCGTGTTCCCAGCCGTGGACCCGGATGGAGAGGCACTCGAGAGCTTCGATTTATCCAAGGTGGACCAGCTGTTCTCCGCCCCCGAATCGCTCAAGGGTGGCAGTGCCCCCATGAAGGACGACCCGCTATTCTGAGTGGGAGGTCCAGAGATGCAAGATACAACAAGATAAAATGAACATGTGTCGACTTAATGCTACCAGATGCAAGTGCCAGGGTGGTAAGAATGCTAATTGTTGGACTGTATAGGTTTACTAGCGATGAGGCATTGTCGACATTTGGCTGTTTGCTGGACTGCAGATTCGAGGCTGGCGAGAGTTTGCTGGCTTTGACGCCTTGGCGGAGGAGTGTTGCGATGGGCTTTAACCCGCGACTTATGGCTAACTGGAGAGCAGTTTGGCCTCTGAACTGAAGCAGTAAAGTGACGAGGGGGTTTAAGTGCAGGATTACAATACTTGAATGTATATTATGCGTTGCTGAGTAGTGGATTGGCACCTGCGAGCAGCAGGTCCTGTACGATATCTCGGCGGTTGATCTTGACAGCAAGACGCAGCGGCGTCGTCTCGTTGATCTACTTGTCAGATATGGGTCACTGTAGTGGTCAAGTACAGTTGCAATGCTGGTCCTACCGCCCCGCGCAGTAACGTCGGCACCGGTGAAGAGCGAATGCTTCAGTATTTAATCTGGCGTGTCGGTGCAGCATAGCCACTTGCACACTGTTGCCAGAACGACCACAACGTGAGATCATTTTGTTCAGCTGCAATATATACAGCAATACTCTGTATATACTCCATGTGGAACACTGACCTCAGCAGGGAAAACAATTTTTGTTTTAGTTTTGAGTCGCCTGTTGCACTCTGTCAGCTAGTCAC